AGAATTGATGGTGGGGTTGATTGGAGCAGAACCCCCGGGCGTGGGTCCATACACAGTGTAGCGGCGGGTGCGGGTCTCTGCGACAGCCAGGGGCTTGCCAGTTATGCCCACGTCACTCAAATTTCCCCAGTTGGGAAGGGGAAGCTACGACTTGAAGCTTCAACAACCACGCGACATCAACAAATCGGAGCCCGGGTGTTGCGATCGAATACTGCACGGTGTCCAATGGCAGTGTAAAGTGTCACATCTTACCGGAAATACTGGGAGGATTGAAACACCGCCCAACCATGGCCGGCCTCAATGCGCTCTTCCGGCCCGTGCCGCTCTTCGGCGCCGCCGCGCTTCTCCGCGTCGGCATGCTCTTTTATGGTCTCTGGCAGGACGCCAACTCGGCAGTCAAGTACACCGACATCGACTATTTGGTTTTCACCGATGCCGCCCGCTTCACAGCGCAGGGGCGCTCACCTTACGACCGCGAGACTTACCGCTACACGCCTCTCTTGGCGTGGATGCTCGTTCCGACCGCCTGGGATGGATGGTTCTCGTTCGGAAAGGCGATCTTTGCTGTGGCGGACCTTTTGGCGGGATGGCTGATTGTGCGCATTCTGAAGAGTCGCGGCGTCGATGAGGGAAGGGCTTTGAAGTTTGCCAGCATCTGGCTTCTCAACCCCATGGTTGCGACCATCAGCACGAGAGGAAGCTCCGAGGGTCTGCTTGGCGTGATGGTGATGGCACTCTTATGGGCCGTTTTGGAGAAGCGGACGGCATTGGCTGGTCTGCTGCTCGGCTTTGGGGTGCATTTCAAGATCTATCCGTTCATTTACGCACCGGCAATCGTCTGGTGGATGGATGATGAGACCCTTGGACGAAAGGGGGCTGAGGGTGTGAAATCCCTGCCCCAAGCCCTCGTCAACTTCCTGAATCCGGAGAGGATCAAGTTGGCTGTCGTCAGTCTTGCAACATTCATGGGCCTGAACATTGCCATGTTCGAAATGTGAGTTCTGAATTAATCTCTCTCTGGTTGCCATGCTAAGACCCGCCAGCTACGGCACCCCGTTCTTGGTGCATACCTATTTTCATCACGTCACCAGGATAGACCACAGGCATAACTTCAGCCCGTACAACATCCTTCTCTACCTCAACTCGGCAATGCCATCCACAGCTACCATCAAGATCGAGTCTGTGGCATTCTTCCCTCAGATTCTGCTCTCGACCATACTCATTCCTCTCGTTCTGGCGAAGAAGGATCTCGCAACATCAATGATGGCGCAGACTTTTGCATTCGTTACATTCAACAAAGTCTGCACCAGTCAGTACTTCCTCTGGTACATGGTCTTCCTCCCGCTCTACCTTCCCAACTCTGCATTTCTGAAGAGCCCGAAGCTGGGAGTGACGGCGCTGGGTCTTTGGATTGTTTCTCAGGCTGCATGGCTGCAGCAGGGATTCCAACTCGAGTTCTTGGGATACAGTACGTTTTTCCCGGGCCTTTTTGCTTCCTCGGTGGGATTCTTCTTGGTCAACTGCTGGATCCTAGGTGTCATCATTGGTGATGGAGCCGAGGCAGCGAACACTGTCAAGGCCATCAAGGCCAAGAGTTGATGTAGTAATACATGGCAACAGTCGCCTGTTCATTCTGAATAAAACTAAAGTTAATTAAAGTGTGGCTCTCGCCGTTGGCTTAAGTGAACCGGTCGATTCGACCTCAATGGTGTGTAGGCAATCAAATACGACCCTTCCAGCAACTCAACTTCGGAAAATCCAACGCAAAATGTGGCAAAGACAATTGATTACCTTGATTGAAGCTTTCAAGTGCAATCGAGCCAGGTTCAAAGGTGCTGTTGCCTGGAAAGTGGCCACGTGATTAGGCGTCACCTTCCCGCAGGAGCACGTCCGAACGCGATCCAACCAGTCGCGCACCTTCTCCCCACCATTTCGCACCTTGCAGGCCAAGCACCCAACGACTTTTCCCAGCGCCACAACGTCCTCCCATTGCGCAACGATCTGCAAACATTTTATCCTGTGGATCAGATACTTACTCTCGCAATGTGGCTGCTGGAGAACGAGGGGAACGCGCTCGAGGGTTTGTATTGAGCTTCCTGCTGACAGCTGCCTGCGACACGAGCTAACGCGATTGATCACAGGCCGGCGCATCTGGCTGCGCCCCGGAAAACTGTATCTCTTTGGCCGAACATCCGCGAATGTCGAACGTATGCGATTCCACTGACTCCCGAATGACTCACGTTGCTGACAACTGCAGCCGGAACCCTCACGATCGCCCACAAGACCATCTCGCGCAAGCACATGACGATACAAGTCGACAAGGTTCCCGAAGGCGACAACGTACGTTCTAGTTGGGTATACATAAGGCAACTCTGCTGATCTTATTCGCAGCAAGATCTGTCCAGTCGGTCGACGATAACGATCGAAGACTTGAACACGAAGGCGGGCACAACGGTCGATGGACACAAGTATAAGGGCGAGAAACATGTAGTGACCGAATCGACGGCAGAGATCAAGATTGGCGGTTGCACGGAAGTCTTCCGGTACGGTCGCACTCTATTGCGAAAGCGTGAACTGTTGCTGACCATTTTCTAGGTTGACATGGCACCCGGTGGTGCTGACCTTCAGTTTCTCTAGTCGCGAAATGCAAGCCGACCCCTTGTCCCGACTGCGAGCCGACGTCGAGCAGCTGGACATCAAGCTTACATCCGAATACGATGTTGAGCATACGACACACGTGGTGGTAAAGAAGCGTAATACATCAAAGGGCCTTCAAGCTCTTGTTAATGGGAAATACATTGTGACGGACTCATTTGTCGATGCAATTGTTGCGGCAGCGACTTCGGAGCCAACAGCTATATGTGCGCTGGAGGATAACTTCGACAGCTCCTGGCCCGATGCCTTAAGCCACTTGCCTCCACGTGGCGGCGAACCTGTCGAGCGTCCCAACGCCGCTTATGCCCCCGACGAAGGTCGCCGCGACATCTTTGAGGGATACACCTTCATTTTCTACGAAAAGGGCCAGTTTGAGAATCTTCGCGCCCCCATCATCAACGGCAAGGGCAAGGCGCTTTACACAAAGGTGACCCCCAACGCGACTACTGTCGACGAGTTCATTCTGTACGTCAAAACAGAAGCAGGCGAGAAAGGGCTTGGGTGCTTTGAAGATGGCAGCGAGGGACGAGGTGTTGTTGTCGTCCGCTACACGCCTAGCAAAGGTGATGCTATGGCCTGGTATGCGGACTTTTTCACTCAAGTCTCGCTCCGATTGGACCATAGGCCCATTGAGCAGAACGAGTTCCTTGAGGCGATTCTCGTCAAAGACGCCAGTATTCTGCGTCGGCGTCTGGAGATTGACCCTACTCAGGAGCCTCCACGCACAGCGCCGCAGCAGGCTTCGAGCAGTGACTCGATGGATGTTGACCAGCCCGCCCCTTCACAACATACCCCCCAAGAATCTGCACCGTCTGCTCCACCAGTGAGACCAGCTCGCGTGCGAAGGGCAGCCACCAGACGTTTTGCCGGATTCGATAATGATGACGACAATGATGATCCTGTGGTCCCCAAAGAACCAGAGAGCGTGCCTGTCAACGCTGAACCGGAGACCGAAGAGGGGTTATTCGTGTCGCAAGAAGCGGCCGTACTTGATGAAATCCCAGATTCGTCACAAGAGACGAGAACCAGGAGGTCGCAGAGGAAGCGGCCTCCAGTAGAGGATGACAGCATCATGGATGATATTATCCCAAATGCGGCCGCAGCCAAGCGACGACGGATTGAGGCTGGAGAAGATCCAGAGCCGCGACCTAAGGAGCCCGAACCTCCAAAGGCTCAGGAGCCGAAGCCTGCTACTAAGCCCAAGAAGGTGAAGCAAGAGATTGATGTCCTCGAAGTCGCTCGCAAACGACGTGAAGAACTGGAGGCTGCGGCCAAGGCCGAAAAGGATGACCTTCGCAATTTGCCAGCCGACCTTGACTTGGCAGAAATCGGTCGGAACCAAACCACGGTGGCCATGCCTGTACGTCAACGGCCGGCAACCAGGACTCACGAGGAAGACGTAGCGAGCGGCAGATGGAACCCTGCCTGGAATGGACGCAAAAATTTCAAAGGCTTCGTACCCCGTGGCGAGCTCACGGGACGACCGCGCCAGAAAGTCATTGTACCTCTGAAGGAGGTCAAGAAGAAAGATTATGGCATTGGCGATGAGTACTGGCTCGAGGACGACAGTCAGAAGAAGAAGAAAGACGACACCCAGAAAAGCGGCAGGAATACTAGTCAGAAGAGTGGCACGAGTACTGGTCAGTCTGCCGCTTCGCGACGTGTGTCACTTCAAGATCGGGGCACAGTTAGCATTGTCAGCAGCGACGAAGAGGATGAGACGCCTGCACCTGAGCCCGAGCCAGAACCCGCCCCATCACGATCGAGAAGCTCTCGCGCCACGACGACACAGTCTCAAGCTACTAGCCAGATTCAGAGGACGACGCGCGGCAAGAGAGCAGCGCCACCTCAGGCTCCGGCCGACGAACCACCTGCGAAGAAGACTCGAGCGGCGAGGAAACCTCGAGAGGTGGCTGACAGCGATGAGAGTGACGACGACGACGGGCTGAAGTTTAAGTTTAGGAGACGCTGAGATAGCCCCAAAGCTGATCCTGAAGGCCTGCTGTTCAAGTGGAGCGACGAGTCAAAGGGAGCTATAACGCGAAGTCGGGCAAGACGGCTTTCAAGAAGCCGTGCCCGCGAAGCTGGCGAGGGCAGCAAGGCCGACGACAATAATGCGGACGGCGACGCTGAGATGGTTGACTACAACGCCAGCGAGAAGGATGCGGACGACGGCGCTGAGGAGGCCAACTAGCGATGTTTGTATGATTGCGGTCGCTGTGAGCGGTGCGTCTATTATGGGGTATCACTCTATCAGTATCTGTATGCAGGATCGACCTGTTAATACACAGCGTAGTAGCCGTATGTGCCTGGCTCTCTCTTCTGAAATGTGCAAAAGAAGCGGTTTAATCCATCTCATCCATGGCGCTCGGCTTCGCGCCTTCTTCCTCGTCTACTAGCAGCCCGACCAAACACGCCGAAAGCATAGTCTCGTAGTTGACCCAGGGGTGGATCTCCCCAAACAGCTTGGTGCCATCTCGCCCGGCGCCGCGAAGCAGCTCGGGCTCGCCGGCGGGGTGGTAGGGCAGGTAGGGTGTGATGTTGTAGACGCGGCCGCCGAGGGCCATCCAGGCGTCCTTGCCCTTGCGGCCGGTCATCTTCTTGAGCATGGAGGGGGTGACTTTGAGGTAGGGCGTGGAGGGGGGGAGGTTGCGCAGGTCGGCGTTGGGGCCGGAGATGCGCGCCCAGTCGAGCGGGGAGTGGCCGGGCGCGAGGATTACTTTGCGGCTTGGTTTGGAGGGTTTGGCGGAGTGTGTTGGCGGTGGTAGGAGCGAAGAGGAGGAGGAGGAGGGGGCAGGGCCGCGGTTGGGGACGGGGCCGCGGGCGCGTTGGGGGGAGTTTGCGGCTGGGAAGGCGGCGAGGCGGGGTGGGACGGGACCTCGTGAGGAGGAGGATGGTGGTGGGGGCATGCTGCCGCGGCCTGGGAGGGAGTTCGTCGAGGTGTTGTTGAATAGAGGCGGGGGAGGAGGCATGCTGCCGCGCCCGGGTGCCGGAGGGGGCGGCATGCTTCCGAGGCCGAGGGTCGGGGTCGGGTTCGCGCCTGTGGTGAGGCCGGTGGAGGGCTCGTTGAGGGAGAACGAGGGGACGGTTGGGCCGGCGGGGGTGGAGGGGTTGGCTTTGGGTGTTGTTTGTTCCTCCTCTGGCTCTGATATCACCGGCGTCGGGGCCGCGTTCGGACGGCGGATGATCGTGGGAGGAGGAGGCATGGCGAGGGCGTCGTTCTTCGGTGCCGGTGCCGGTGTCGGGTCGGGGTCTTCGGGGAAGTTGATGGATGGCGGGGCAGGTGCGGCTGCGGTGCGCTTTTGCTCGTCGGGGCCGGCGGCGCCGTTGCTTGGGTTCTTGTCATCGTCCGGCGGGGGACTCGAGCGTGTCTTTGGCGGCGGCGGGAGGGATGGGGAGGGACGCCAGGTCAGGAGGAAGGGCGGCATGAAGGGGTGTATCCATGGCGGAGGGGCGACGATGACCCAGACGACGGAGGCGATGATGAGGGAGACGCCGATGTAGCCCATTTTTTGTTGTCCTTGTTGGTGTCGCGTTGGGAGAGGCCGTGGGGCGGCCGCGACAGAAGTTGGATTGGTCGTCGTTTGTAGAGTGAGGGTCCTGACAGAGAGGCAGTTTGAGGTTGACGTCGTGATGGGATTTGGAGAATGTTGCGCTGCGAGTGTCTTCAGTGTTTGTCAGCGGGTTCAACGGTCACGGTGAGTGGTCAACTGTCTGGCGCGGGGCCCGCAATGGAAGCTGGAGAGATGGTTGTTCCCTTAACGGGCGGCTGCTAAGCGACAGGGGTGCACCGTGTCCCCTTTTGGTGGGGTTCACAAGTGTTGCCTCGGAGGGCGGAATGACGCGCTACGAGAGTGAGATTTCGAGATGGAAAGGCGCGAGGAAGGGAAAACAGGTACGTACCGAGACGTTCCACTAGCGCGTGCCCACGTTCAATTTGGCCCGGCCGGGCAACAACCCGGGATCACGGGAGGAAGGGGGGGAGGAAAATAAACGAGATGGGCGCTGTCAAGGGCCCAAAACAAAAATAAAGCAGACTGGGAAGGGTCCGACCTGAAGGGGGAAGGCACCAAAGGAGAGACGAAATGTCACCGCCGTCCCGAAGGTGAATCGTTTCCCGCCCTGCCGCCCTTGTCCCGCTCATTGGCGATATTCTTTTCCCTTTTTCCTTTTTATTTTCTTGTGAGTCTCCGCTAGCCTGCATTCATATCAGATATACCTGCCCAAGGTGTTTTATGGATGGGCCAAGGGTAGGTATCCGTAAGGCAGGCAAGAGTTCGAGACTAGCACTGCACACTGCACCTCTCGAACCAAATCACACAGCACACAAGACAAAATGTCACGACGGCAGACCTCTGAGATATCCGGGATTGGTTGTCTTGTGTCGTGTGGAGTGGGTTTGTGCAGGTTGGGACGCATGAATAAACAAATGCCAATCGAGATGAGGGGGATCCAACGGGCGGTTTCGAAGAATGACAACACGCCAGGAATAACATGGCCCAATGGACGATGGCCCATGGATAGTTTTGTGCCTTGCTGTGGACGATAGCGAACATGTCATATTGCATTATCTGCCATTGCCGTTCCCAGGTTCGCCTGCGCTCTCCTCTTTTTTTACGGATCCTCGGTGAAGTTCAAGCGTGAGAGAGGAGTCGAATATGCAACTTTGAGGCTTGCGGCTAACTGGGCTGCTACTGGACGCCCCCGTTTCGTGGAATCGTGAATGACATTCTTCAACTTGCGTCCTCCCCCCGCCGCCGCTGCCCATTCCAATCTCTCAGTCACACTCACCACTCGTGCTCTGTCTCGTTTTTTGATCCCCCGAGTTTCCCTATTCCGGCACACACCTTGGACGCGTCTGTTCGCGGTTGGTTGCTGCTGCTACCTCACCTGCTCCGTGTCACCGCTACGCCGTTGATCATCGACCTGCATGTTTCAATCGGGGACCGTTTCGTGTCGAGTCAACGCTGTTTGAGAGAGACAAGCGCGAGACAACAAACCAACAACTCTTTTTCTTCTTCCTTTCTCGGTCTTGGTCTTTGGGCTGCAAAGCACATTGCCTCCTTTTTTTTTTTTTTTTTTTTTTTTACTCCTATCCCGACGGGACCCCAAGCTGAAAAAGGTGAAGCGGCGAAGTGGTCCATCACCGCCTTTTGCCTCACCGACGACGAACCCCTCCCCTCCCCTACCCCCCCTCCTCGCACCCCCGACCTGCAGCAAGCAAGCACTTGTGCGTACGACGGGCACAGTCATACACACACGAGAGAACCGGCATCGTCGTCGACTACCTCAAGCGGAATTGCAGGCCCTGCGAACCACTTTCCTCGAAGCCCACCGTCACCGGTAAACTGGGCACCTCGACAGTCGACCACCGCGCCCATCCCTGCTGGCTTCTATTTTTCTTTGCACATCTTTTGCAGGTTTTCATTTTGCAGCCTCGTTCCCGGGATACCCAAACCTGGGAAAGGAGTGCACGACGACGACAGAAAGAGGCAGGGAGCGCCCGTGTTCGTCCAATGTGGTTTTCCGTTTCCCGGCCATGGTAGCCAGTGAGAAGCCGAGGACGGAGGAGGAACCCCAGGAGTACCAGCACCTGTACCCGTACCAGTACCTGTACCTGTCCACCACCGCCTCCAGGAACCCGAACCGAACAGTCACCTGCAAATAGGTAGCGGCTGCTGCTGCCCAAAATGCGCTCGCTCACCTCCGCCAACACGCCGGCCGGCTGCAACAATCTGTCGACTGCTTCTGAAGACCTCACCAAGAACAAGCCCAAGAAGCCCGACCCATCCCGGCTTCACAGAAACATCAGGCCATCGTCGCTCTCGCCCGCCACCCGCAACCCCGCCCTATCGTCAGCAGCATCAACAGCAGCATCGTCCAGGGCCTCTTCGCCTGCGCTGCTCTCGCCGACCTCGACGCCCTTGCGGCCCGTCTCACCAGCACCAGCATCCGCGGGTCGCAAACCCACGGTCGCCCAGATTCGAGCCCGAACCACAAATAATCCCGCTAGCACGCCCACGCGAAGGTCTGTCTCTGGCTCTGGCATTGGCAGCACTGGCACCACTACCAACACTCCATCCAGCAGACCAAAGACTGCCGCTGCCGCTGGAACTAGTGCCGCGACTGCGACTCGCACTGCTGCCACTGGCCCACCAACCGCAACGGGGCCCCGGCCACGCATCACAGCTACCACCACTAGAAGTAGAAGTACTGTGACCGTAACCACAATTGGCGCAGGCACCACCAAAACATCAAATTCCCACTCCACCACTACAACCGCAACCGCCAACCCAACCGCCGCCGCCGCCGCTGCTGCTGCTACTGCTGCCAATCCAAACCCAAACCCAAACCCAAACACAACATCCTCTTCGCAATCACCACCCGCGACCGCCTCCAATACCACCGCTACCGCTACAACCACAACCACAACCACCGACGCCGACGACGCGGGTACCACTGCGGAAACTCCTGCTACTTCCCCTCAGGGTTCTGCCTCCGCCCGACGACAGCAAGCTGCACTGTCCTCCAGCTTGCGCTCTCCCCTCCGTAACAGAGACCAAAATGTCCTGAACCCCTCATCTCGTCCTGCCAACGCCGCGCGAGCGAAGCCGTCGCCAACACCTTCGCCCACCTCATCCTCCGCACCTGCATCCGCATCCGCCTCTGCATCCGCCTCTCCCACGCCCACCACAATGCCCCCCTACGACAAAGGGGGCAGCACGACTACCCGCCAGCCGGGAATGCCCTCCCTCACCGCAAAGGGAATGAATCGAGCTCCCCTCACCCCGAAAGTTGCTGCGAAGCCAGCCTCCGTCGTGACCCCCTTGGGCCGCCGCCGCAACGATAATACGAATAACAACACCCAACACCCGACTCTACACGCCGCTGCTGGGGGAGGAGCCAAGGACGACCTGACGAGTCCTGCGCCCTTCCTGGGCAATAATATCACACCGCGATCCGGCCCTCGCCAGAACCGCGTAGACAGCAATAATAGCACTCCCAACGGCACACCGAACCCCGACCGGACCAACGATTGGGATCACCAGCCCACTTTCCAGGCTGAGCCGGTAAGGAGACAGGTCGTTACCTTCAGCCCTGTCCCTTCCTCCGCTGGCAACCGTCACGATGCCGACTCCAAATTTTTCTATGCGAGCGACGCCAAACCCTCCGCGCCCGCTCCCCAGCCCAAGCAGCCTGCTGCTGCTCCTGCCGCCCCACAGCGAGCTTCCACCTTCCTGTACGCCAATGGCAGCGCCGTAGACAAGAATCGGCCCACGTCCGCTGGCGTAGGCTTCACGCCGATGCTCGCTCCCTCGCTGGCACCGTCATTATCACCAACACTTGCGCCCACGCCGGAGCCGCCGCAGAGCAAGTTCTTTTATGCAAATGGAGCTCCAAATCTGGCTCCTGGCTTCAGGCCGTCGTCTGCAGCCTCGGGGACTGGGCCAACGATCGCAGAGTCGAGAAAGAAGGCTAGGAATTCAGCTGGCTCGGCAAGCGGTTTGTCGCTCGCCTCTCGGCCCATGTCGCCCAACAAGCCGATACAAACTCCAGCTGCTCCGCCATTGGTTAAGAGCAATAGTCAACCGCAGACTCGGACACAGATGACAAGCCCGCCACCCCTGGCGCCTTCGATGCACAAGCGCAAAATCAGCATGGACGCCGTCTCTCAGGTAGCCAGCCATGTCAACAGCCGGCCCGCGAGCCACGTCGGCTCAGACGCTGCACCCACCGATGCCATGATCATGTCACAGTTCATGGCTTCTCAGTCGCCGACTCCCTCCGGAGTGTCATCTCCGACAATGGCCAGCTTCTTCCCTAACCAGCCGATCACGATAGCTTCGATATTGCAGGCAGCAGATGAGCTGAGCGAATCTGAGGGAGAGGAAGAGGAGGAGGACGATGACGACGACGATTCCAGGGATCTGGAAGAACTCCACAGCCCGACCCGGTCGAACCACGGCGACCCTTTGAACGATATGGTGAAGCACGCCAGGAGGGAACGTAAGGTGCAGGATCTGGAGATTACAAACGCTTCCCTGGAGGCCATTAACAGATCGCTCGAGAGGCAGCTCAGGAAACAGACGGCTGAATTGAGGAGGTACAAGAGACTGTCCCGGTCTGGCCGTCTGTCCTCGGCTCCCACCGCGCCACCAGCGGAGGAACCGTCCGAGCCGACCACGGGTCTTGGTATCGAAGGTGTTTTAGATCTTTCGGACCTTAGTGAGGAGGAGGAGGTTGAAGCTGGAGGTGAAGGCGGGGCCGAGGGCGAAGGCGATTTAGAAGACCTCGAGGATTCCATGTTTGAGTCATCGGAGCTTGACGAAACGGACTCTGCCAAATCGGACCCCGAGCGCGACACTCGGCGGAGGAAACGAGACGAAAAGCGACTTCAGCTGGATCTCACCAAGCACAGGGAGCTGCTTGTTGACAGTCAGAAGATTAATCAGAGCATCAAGAAGTGCCTGAATTGGACGGAGGAGCTCATCAAGGAGGGCAAGAAGGC